CTAGAAACATAGATTTGAACAATAGAAATTCACAATAAAAACTATGTTGGTATAGTTACCACTTCCATTTCTTGAGCTACTAATCAAATTGACTAGTTCAACAGAAATACCTCTGGAAAGTTACCCAATTTCTTTTCTGCTTCTAGAACTTGATGTATCATACATAGCACGTCTATAGGTTTTGTGATTAAACTATTTGAACATTTCCATGATACATTCTTCATCTTTTTATGGAGATATCTTACTGAGATCATAATCAAAGAGCCCACAGTAAACACTGAAAAGTTTTAACATAGTGTTAGAGCCCCCAGATAACAATACTACTTCCCTGATATTCTAATTCTCTCCTCTCTGGATACAACATTTAGTGGTAGAATTGGGAATGACACTGTGGATATTTGGTTATCCTTTTCCTTATCTTTGCCAATTAGAAAGACTCCTTTTATGCTATAAGATTTGTTCTGTTTCAGTGTAACCATAATTAGGAGACCTTCCTACGACTAATAACACCTAATTATTAGTAGGTTAGGAAATGTTTTCTTTTTAAAACAATTTTATAATTTCACCAGTTTTTATGTGAAAAAAAGGAAATTGCATTTAGGTATAATTTCCATTAATCAGATTCATCTTTTGAAATAAACAGAAGTCAGACAATAGTTAAATCAAGGTGTTCATTGTAGTTGACAAACTACATCAGTCGTAACTCTCAAAGTGCTGTTTTATTATTGCCACACGGCGGCTCCACTTTAGCTGGTGAGCAGAGACTCCGCCATTCACCGTCAGTATTGGTCTCCAGTTGTGGGAGGTCTTCAGCAACATCATGTCCCTTTCATAAAATAAATCACTCCTATTTTCATTGCCAGAGTAGCAGGGCTTGTTTTTCTCCCCCTACATGCTTTTTGCTAGTACAGTGTATTTTTACAAAGTCTCTTTACCTATGAAACTTAGTTTTTAATAGAAATTTTTGTTTCTCAATGAAGCTGCTCAATTAAAAATTCCTTGAGAGCATAAAGAGACTACTGTATTAGCTTTGGAATTTCTTTCGTAAAATTTGAAGACTGGAAGAGACATCTGAGGGAACCTTATCTAACTCCTGTTCATCAAAACACCCAGAAACTGAGTCTGAGTAACTAGGTTAGGGAAACATAGGAAGGTGAGGGCAGATGGGACTTAGTCCTTTCTCCTGAGCCAAGCTGCCTCTGATGCTGAGTGCTGCTCACACTTGACAAGGCGGAGCACACAAGGACACTTCAGTGTGCCTCTACAGATAAACAAGTGAGAAAAGAAATAAAAGGCAGTTCAAGTGTGAACAATCAGAGTAAGGACCCCGAAGCCAGTTCATTCACTGAAGGTAGTTCACCTGGATTATTTACAGGGCAAAGATGTAGATCTAATTCACAATCACTTCTGTTTTGCTTCATGTATATTAAGCATTCAGACCATTTCACCTTTACAAGCCCCCAAATTGAATATGACCACAAAATGGCTTTTATTAGCTGAAGGAAGACATTTATTAGCTAAGGAAAATAATCATAGAATTCTTCCAACAATAAAAGTGTTTCTGAGAGAAGTATCATGCACTTTGGAAAGTCTTATTCCACCACATGGCTCTTGTATTGGCGAAGTCAAAACTACCTCAAATTTTGTGATCTACAACAGTGAAGGCAACTTCTTCACAGGAGTATTAGTGAATCATTGCTTTAATATTTTTATTAGGTAAACAATCTGAACTTTTGCTTTTTATTTGGTTAGAGGGTAGAGTGGACATTCTCTAGAAAAATGATATTAAAATATCATCTTACCAAAGTGCTCGCTTCTTGAGAGAAGGGTGCTATATACTTTCAGAAATTATAAGAAGAAAAACTCATCAGGACCCTTTTATAATATTGATATGAGAGAAGAAAATATTTACCCACTTGACCTTGATGTTGAGTTTATTGATAACGATGCGTTTTAGGGGGGATGTTTTAGTAAGTTGTGTCTACATTGTGTTAATAAGATTGTGCTCACTCTGTGTGGATCTTAAACATAACCCATTTACCAATTTTATCACAGTCAGTAGGGACTTTGCTAACTGCTAACTATATTTCTTAATTCTGAAATAGTTGAGACTTGCTTTGTAGTAATTTCAAGAGCACATAAGCACATTGGTAAAACATAAAGAAGACCAGAAAAGGCCTTCTTTGAATCTTTTTCTTGATTAACATCATTTTAGAGAAAGGTCTTAAATGTTGCTTAGTGGATAAGATCATTTAGATAGTGATTCTTAGACTTCTACGACTGGTTCCAGATTCCAGTATTGATCCAAATGAGTTGAATCCATTAACTTTAGATCGATAATTCTGAATTGCCAGATTCATACCCTGAGGTCAAAGAACTCTGGTGACCTGTTAAGAGTCACACACATCTTTTTGGCTGTCTGTACTGTATTCCCCGATTCTGTGGAAAAAAATAAACTTAATGAACCCCAACCCCTCAAATCTTAAAATGCTTACAACCAGATACATATGGACAGCAAGAGCATAGAGATTTAAAAACAGAGCAGAAAAAAGTAACTTGAACAGAATGTGGCATTTCCCTTGGTCTGTTGCTAACGGCCCACATACAACATGCTTAAAAAAATCCACCCTGGCGCTTCTTTTCATCACCATTTAAAAATGCTTCAAATGGACATTTAGAATGTATGGTGATGGGAATGTATCCCATTTGGGGATAAATAGAAAAGAGCTTTATCAAGCTGGGCTATGTTTTCAGGAGTTGTACTGCTAAAAATGATGTGTATTTGGTCTTTTTTGTTTGTCGTGCTTTTAAAGCCAACACAATATTTTAATTGTACATTTTCAGTACTCCAAAGCCAGTAGCATTAAACACTAATTTTTGTAAGAAAAATAATTATGGACGTGACTTTTAAAACCTCTTCAGGGTTTGAAGATGTGAAAGAAATGTAAAAAGGAATTACTTCTCTCACGTTTTATCCTGTTCTTTTACTTTTTCCCTTTTACTCTGAAGCCCATCAAACTTTGTTTTATTGAAACAAACAAGCGAACAAACAAACAACCCTAGAGACGCCTGCCTCTCAATTGTTAGCTTTGGATGGCTCTTTCTGAGTTCAGTTCCAGTGAAGGTTCTTCACACAGATTCTAAGGGTTGGACAGCCCAGACCCCCATGTACACTCTGCACCATAATTTAAAACTTCTCTGAACTTAGACAAGGTCCATAACCAGCCAATGGTCCATGGACCTGTTTTGAAGATCCTGCTGCCAGCAGACGCTGTTGTATTGCTAACTGTTCTGAAAGAGTTTAAACAAAAACTGCAAAAAAAAAAAAGGTAACTGTGGCTATTTGAAATGAAAAACTCACCAGAAATGGCATGTATTAGTTCATTGTTCTAGGAACCTTAAAGTAATGGGGCTCATCCTTCCAGTTTTTCTCAGTCTCAAGTTTTGGGTCCTGAATGTTATGCGTAAGGCATTATATTTTAATCATTCCTCCAATCTAAAGCCAGAAATTATACGATGGGGGGGGGGAAATCTTTTGTTTACTCTTTACATCCTGAAGATTCTACTAGCTCATTGGTAACCCTTCTTTTATTACTGCACACCTGGGCACGTTACACTGTATAATATAAGTAGTCAGGCTTTGGAGAATTTATTTCAATTTACATACAATCCTCCAAATCCTCTGGCGAGCTTGTTGTGAAATCTGACCCAGCCAAGTCTCCCCGGCAGGATCTTCCCTTTGCTCTCCGTGTTAATAGCCTGAGGCTTCAAGGATCCCTCCGGGGAGGCTCCGGGAGGCTAGGAGTCGGGAAGAGGGGTGACTGCGGGGCTTGTTGCGCTGAAGATTTACAATGTACTTCTGGCAGGCGGCTCAGCAACCCCCTCTGTGGCTGTGGGTGTCTAGTGTGACAGAGGAGAAAAGCTCTCTAATCTCCCAGTGCCTGCCTCAGCCTCTCTGCCGCTCCCCTCCCTCCCGCCTTCCCTGCCTCCTCGCACTCTCTCGTTCTTTCCTTTGCTTTTCTCCGGGAGTTTCAGTCCCTGTGGCTTTGGCAATCTAGACCTGGAGCCTGTGCACACGCACACACGAGCACACACATGCACACGCACTCACACACACGCACTCCGGCTCTCCCCACCGGGATACGGAGCAAACCCGGGGCTTCATCTACCTGAAGGGGATGGCCCGGCCGGACACTTCTTGCTCACTTGTCATCTCCGGAGGTCAGAGCAACATCAGGAACAGGGAGGCTCGCCGTCCGGGCTGCAACCTCTCGCCGTTTGCCGCCACCGCTGCTTAAAGTGTCCAGGGTGGAGGAGCAGGCTTTTCCAGGACAGATTCCCAGCGCAGCTCTGCGGCCCTGGGACGTTACCCAGCTGGTTCACCCCAGCTTCTTCCTCCCCGGCCATCCTTTCGTTCCCGGCTCAGGGGTGCATGGCTCGGGCCCCTGCGCTGCCGCCGCTGCCATTGGCGCTGCCACTTCCAGCACATCCCGCCCCGAGGACTGAACACCGCCGCGGGAGTGGGGAGAGAAAGCGGAAGCCGTAACTTCCCTCTCCACTGCTCCCGGTCCTTTCCAGCCGAAGACCCGTTGGAAGGCTCCCGCGGAAAGCGAGGCGAAAGCTTGGTGCAGGGAGGGCCAGCCGGCAGCCGCAGGCGGGCGCGGGTGGGGGCGGCATGTGCCCGGACGCCCGGCGCCCGCCGAAGTAGCGCACGTTGGGGAGACGAGACGCTCCCCAAGTTGGGCGCGTCCCGGAGCCGGTCGCCCCGCGCCTCGGCCGCCGGTGTCGGGAGAGAGGCGGGGCTGATGGGGGGCGCCCAGGTCGCTGTCGCCTGCGGCTGGAGTCCGTCTTAAAAGCACCCGGACCAGCGTCCCCAGGGTCTCAGCTGGCGTCAAGCCCTCCGCCCGAGTGCGCGCTCTGATGCCTTCGCTGGCGGTGGCCCGGGTGGCCCGCCCGCGGGGGGAGCCGGAGGGGGCGGGGGAGGAGGAGGAGGCGGTGTGATGGCCCTGGACGGCGAGCGCGGGGAGCAGGAGGAGGAGAAGAAAAAGAAGAAGAAGAAAAAGAAGAGGAAGAAGAAGAAGGAGGAGGGGGCTGAGAAGAGCCGCTCACCCTCTGAGGCCACGATGGGGGAGAACGACGCCGCGCTCCGGACCGGCAGCAGGGGGCTCTCGGACCCGTGGGCGGACGCCGTGGGGGTGCGACCCCGCACCACGGAGCGCCACATCACTGTGCACAGGCGGCTCGTCCTGGCCTTCGCCTTGTCCATCGTGGCGCTGCTCGCGGTCACTATGCTCGCCGTGCTGCTCAGCCTGCGCTTCGACGAGTGCGGGGCCAGCGCAGCGTCCGGCGCGGACGGCGGCCTCCCCGGCTTCCCGCCGCGCGGTGGCAACGGGAGCCTTCCGGGCTCTGCCCGGCGCAACCACCAAGCCGGCCGGGACTCCGCGCAGCCCGAGGCGGGAGTGCAGGCCACCCCAGGGGCACCGTCTGCCCGGCCGCCGTCGGAGGAGGAGCAGGAGCAGCGGCAGCCGTGGACGCAGCTGCGCCTGTCCGGCCACCTGAAGCCGCTCCACTACAATCTGATGCTCACCGCCTTCATGGAGAACTTCACCTTCTCCGGGGAGGTCAACGTGGAGATCGTGTGCCAGAACGCCACCCGCTACGTCGTGCTGCACGCCTCCCGAGTGGCGGTGGAAAAGGTGCAGGTGGCCGAGGACCGGGTGGCCGGGGCTGTCCCGGTGGCCGGCTTTTTCCTCTACCCGCAAACCCAGGTGTTGGTGGTGGTGCTGAATAGGACCCTGGATGCGCAGAGGAATTACAACCTGAAGATCATCTACAGCGCCCTGATCGAGAACGAGCTCCTGGGCTTCTTCCGCAGCTCCTACGTGCTCCACGGGGAGAGAAGGTACGGAGGGAGGCGGTGCCCAGCGCCGCCCTACCCCTGCTCTGACCGCGGGGCAGCCGGCGACCCCGGGGACCCTCCTGGTGTCCGAGACCCGGGAAAGGTTGGGGCGGAGGAAGGAAGTAAAGGTGGGATGGGACTATCCCCAAGAACCTTCGGGGTCTCCCAGATGCCTGGGCTCTCACTGTTGCCAGCTACACAAACTCACTCACCAGTGGTGAACAAAGGATTCTCTGCCCCCTCCTCTAGTCCGGACCTCCCCACCACCGCGTCCCCCTGTAAAAGTTGCTTAGCCAGGACCTCCCCAACCCCGTCCACGGTCCTTAGCCAGCCGGCGCACGGCTTTATTTATTTATTTATTTATTTATTTATTTATTTTTTAAGGAGTGGTGTGTAATCTGATCGATGCTAGCCGGGGTGACATCAAAGGCCTGCCAAGTTGCCGTCCAGGGAAAATACGTTAGCTGCAACAGGCCAGGGCAGCAGCGCATCGGTCGGGCGGCAGTGCAGGATACAGCAGGGCAAAGCCCCCCTCCCCCCAACTGCCCACCTCCCCATTATCTGGCAGGCACAGGGCAGAGGACGGGCTTTATCTGCATAAAGTTTTCTAAAACTGGAAGTTCAGATTTAGAGTAGGAATAACTGGTCCGGCGACAGAGTAAGGGGGCGGGGCCGGTAAGAATGTCCGTGCATGCAAGTGCTGCAGGCTCTGTCCTGACACAGAGTGACTCCAGTTGTCTTGTTCCTGAGTTACTGACTCTGCAAGTGATCCCATTGGTGAAAGAAGGGAAAGCTAGCAGTCAGTCTCAAGTGCCTTGTTAGTGGGTGTCCTGATGATTTTTAGATTTGGGCAATACCCTGCTTTTTATTTTTTGAGAGCCTGTGGGTCTTCTCACCACTTGTTCAGAGCTCAGACCTGGGAGTCCGACAGAACCTTGTTCCTGTCCGGACGATGACTGCCTCTACTGCTTACTGAACAGCGTCTATTAACTCATTTGTTGCAAGAACCCAGTGGTGCAGGTGCTACCAACACTCCCTGTTTAATGGGTAGAGGAAAGAAGGAACAGAGAAGTAACTTAACACAGGTGAACTCACGAAGCAGGGAGTTTGACCCCAGAGCCCATATGTTTAGTTTTAATTTGGGGATGATAATACTGATATTATCCTCACGGGATTGTTGCAGGTGTCCATGGGCTAGTGCACTGAATGTCCTTTAACCCTGTATGTGGCATTTAGAGTGTCCACCATAAATGTCAGCCGCTATGAGTGTTGGTGGTACTAAGCTCTCAAGCATATCGCTGAATGAATCAAAAAGTTTTTATTGCTTTTTGCTGTAGCCCCTTGCATTTAAAATAACTGATGAATTAAGTGACTATATGACTGACAAAGAAGAAGACTGAACAAAGAAATGAAATTGACGACCTTAGAAGTAGAGGCAGTTGGGAACTTAGTTAATGATGCCACCGGCCATGCCTCCTCTGTTCTCAAGTCCCTCTCGCACCTACAGAAAAACTGGGGCTCTGAGTAGTAGCACAGGGTTCCTGAGGTCAGCAGGCTTGTCCGTGGAGAGCAGGGACTTGAACTTTGGTGTTTTGATACTCGCACTGGGGCTCATGTTGTCTGCAAACTTTATGAAGAAGTTACTATATAAGAGGCTGGGGAAATTTCAGTGTGTTATGGGAGAACACAAATGTTTTATTATTTATAGAGTACTAGGAAGTAACCTCATATAAATAAAATGCCCAAAGTGAGTAGTTGTATGGTAGTTAAAATCTATAAGTGAATGTTTACCTTATTCTTTCTCCTAAGGTCAGCTGTGGACAGTTTAAACCCCCTTCCACCACTTCTTCCGACCTATTCTAATGAATACAGATTAATAGTATTTTCCCCCCATATCAGATATGGGGGAAAGACACAGAGGGCAAACTTGCATGTTATGTTTAGAAACAAGCTTGTTATATCAAAATGTCAGCAGTGGAAAGTTGCATATCATTATCGATAAATTTGTGGTGAAAAAACTATTTTCAACAAATCCTGTTTTTTGAGCCATGCCAAAATATATTTGGTGGAACTGAGCTTGTTTTGGTCAGGGCTTTCAAATGAACAGAATCTCTAAGAAAGACCAGATGTTTCTGCCTGACTCCTAACCGATTTCTTGTTCTCCTGGTGCATATTTGTATTCAAACTCTCTTCTTCGGTTTTCTCCAAAGATGTTAATAGTAACTTGGTTGAAAGTTTAACCTACTGCATATGTGGCTAAGCTTTTGTTTCTCTTTTTATCCACCACTTGAAGAGCAGAGTGAATATAATTTCTTGGATGTCCATACCTGGAGTTGATAAGGCAAAGGAAACAGAATAAACTTTCACAATTATGCCAACATTATATGTATTAACCTTTTTGTTGTTGTTGTTGTTATTACTATAGCAACTTGGGAAATTTTTAAACATGCCAATATCAGGAACTCAGCCAAAGTTGGACTTGGATTGGTGATGTTTTTATCCCCAAAGCGCAATGTAAATTGACATTTTATAACATTCTTTCCAAAAGGACATCAGTACAAATTCCGAATTTCCATTTGATTAATGGTTAAATATCTTGGTTTTTAGTTTGTCATACTTTTGCAAATTTAATTATCAGGTAATTTCTGTAATGAAAATAAATATTTAATCTGCCAGTGGGGAGTCACATTAAGCAACTTGAAATATTTAAAAGAGGAATACTACAGTTCAGTTCACGTAGCCTATACAGAAACAACTCATTACTAGCCCAGTCAGTCTGATTCTTCAACTCACTCTTCAGAGGTTGAGAGGAACAATTTGGGTGAGGGCAAGAAAATTAGATTTCACCATGCACTTTTGACTGCTGGAAGGTTTTACCCCATATAAGGTGTTGGAGGGGGCTTGGTTTTGTCCTGCAGGGAAGACTTAACTTTTCTAGGTTCCCGAAACATCAGCTGAGAGAGGTTGGAGACAAACTCCCCGCTGAATGAACCAGAGTTCCTCTGCTTGAGGCATAGCCTCTGCTTTCTGTTGGTCATTTGGCTAAAGGGAAAATTCATTACTTGTTGAATATTGCAAGCAGATAAATTCTCTTCAATTTGAAATGTTTACACACAGCAGTAAATTATCTCCATTGGGTAGAACAAGTAGTTACCTTTTCCTCAATTGGGAGTGTATTTATGCGGTAGTATTCTATAGTAGAATATACTTGCTCAGAATTAGGTAAGCTGTTCATTTACCTGAAGTAATTGCTGCTTTTGGGTAGCCAGATGGTAAGCACATCCATGTTCAAAGTTGGGTACCTTAATTTAGATCCAGATGGTCAGATTGAAAGAGGAGATTTACCCAAAGTAAATGAACATTTTATTCACTTTCAAAAGGGAAACCGTTTTTCTTTGACAAACTTTGATTGGGTCTCTAACGTGCCACAGTGCCAGGAGACAGAATAAAAATAGGTCTTTTTCTATCAAAGATTATTTAGAGAGAAACTGTGATATCCAAGTAAAATGGGAAAATAACATTGCAGGTCTCAAAAAGAAGCGCAAAAAATGCTTTTGCAAAAATCTTGTGGAGAGTAGAGAAGGTTTTAGGGGTAGACATTTGATATTTTGTGGTATTAGTATGCATGGCTTGATGCCTTGTCCTTTTTCTGGAATGAATGAATAATCATGATATTTAGTAAAAGCAAGAAAAGCACCACATTGCTTTTATGTTGAAAGAACCTCCATTCCTTTTGGTCACTCTGATGAGGAGAGCTTTACAGGAACAAGTTGGTGTGTATAGCTTTTGGTCTCCTATAGAAGGCTCTGAACCGGAAAATCTGCGAGAATCATTTATTTCTGTGAAAACTTTTTAATATGATTCCTTAGTGGACTTAGCTTATTGTTTTCCTGTCAGGCATACATAACCATATGGCCAGACCGAGTCCAGTACTGCCAGACTTTGGTTACAATTCAGAATGCCACCACCACACTTAATCTGGAATTTTTTTTTAAGTTTGACTAGTTAATAACTGATTCAGGGAGGAAAATCCAAATTAGCATTTGTCTTGCCATGTTTTTTCCATGGTACCATTTGATTGGATCACCCTGGATAGTAATAAAGTATACAGTTTCTCTAAAAGAGTTAAATTAGTTTGCCCATATTTTTCTTTACTCAAAGAAACTGCAAATCTGGCCTATTTGCTCTGGATATCTTTCAAGCAAAGGTGGACCTGTGACTGGTTTTCTTGCATCCGTTTGGTCTGTGCAACATGTTTATTTCCTTAAACCAAATTTTGCCACTGTGTACGTAGATGGGTTTGATATAACAGTGCTGCACAACAGTTTAGGTTTGCTGGGAGATGGGAACGTTTGGTTAGTAAGACTACAAGGATAAGACTCACTTATTTAAGCATGACTACAAAGAATGGTATAACAAGAGTGAGGGAGAAATAACTTTTCAATGAAGAAGTGTTTTCGTTGTAAGGAAGAGCATCCCTGTGTCACCCATCTTCATTCTCCAGGCCACCAATGTGACTCATCAGGATTGTTATCAGTGTGTCCATTTTTTAAAATTTTGGGGTATCCTTTACATCCTTTCAGATTTACAATAGTGACGGTTCCTTCAGTTTTTCAAAGTCTCATGCAATCCTGCTTTTTGCCACTAGAGAGTGGATGCTTTCTCCAACAGGCAGAATTTTACTATTAACACATAGAGTTCAGGAGAATATAAAAATGAAACATACTCTGCTTTTTTCAGTTTCCAGGAAAATATGAACTGATCCACATACAGGCATAGCTAGATGGTGGTGGCTGGGCTGGGAGGGTGGAATAAGATTATCAAGCTGGGTGGGGCTGAATTGGGGTGAAGGGCCCCAGGCTCAAGTCCCATGCACCTGACTCCAGGTGCACCTTCTCAGTCTCCGAATGCCTGAGTGGCCCCAGGGTTTAAGGAGCTCTGACTCTGCTGTGTGCGCAAGGCAGGGTTAATGCATTCCTCCCTGTGCAGACCTGGGTTAACTC